AAGAAGGGACTAGTATCCCTGAAGTTTCTCGGAAAGAATTTCTACTGGAAATTAACAAACAAGCAGATACGTAACACACTCATCTGAGTTGGCTACCTTTTCTGGGATGAAACAAGAGGTCTGACATACTCAAATTCGAAATTGAATATTACACTATCTGACACGAACGCGATTTTCACAAAACACGAACAACAACTTGAAGTAGCGTTTGAAAACATCCTGTAGTCATATGGTGTTTTACCTGAAAATACTGTAACGCTTCCGTTCGTTAGTTAATTTTCCGTATAATTTCCTTTCGAAGAAACTTTAGCGATACAAGTCCTTTCTTAAATGAAAGTGGTTTATTCTTTCTAAATACAACTTTCCAATACACTTAATTTTCACAGTCACGCTATAACAAACGCTATAATTCACAATGAACGTCTCACGTGCTCGACTCAACAATACTCTCTCTCTCTCTCTGTCCACAGTTCAATTACTCATTAAATTACATTGTTCCCGTCGCTTCTTGGCCGGTCTTATATATACAAGACTACCCCATATCTAGTAGTCTCCCGACGCTTCATGAACGTTCTAGAAGCGCGTGGCGTGTTACTAGGGTCACGTGACTTCCGGTGTCGTAACAATACTTTAAAAATCTCATACCTATGCATCACCATTATAAGAGGCCTAACTCTACTCCTTTGGTTTGCTGGCCCAAGTTATGCTAATAAGCCTTGAATAGGTGAAACTATAGTCCACAGCAGAGAGTACGCTAATCAAAGAATACTGTTACGACAGTGGAAGTCACGTGACGCTGGTAACAGGTAATGAGTATCTCAAACATTCCTGAAGGCTCGAATGTTTGCTAGACGCCCTCTATTTTGTATATATAAGACGGCGAGAAGTGTCGGCATAAATAATTGAATAGCAGACACAGAGATATAGAGACAGATAATCGAGTCAAGTCGTAAGTAAAGGCGTGAATCGTTGTGAATTCTAGCGTGTGTTTAAGTTATAGTGACTGTGGAAATTAAGTATATTACAAAGTTGTACTGAGAAAGAATAAACTAGATTTATTTAAGAAAGGACTTATATCGCTGAAGTTTCTTGCGAAGAATTTCTACGGGAAATTAACAAACAAACAGAGACGTAACAAATTGGTGTCAGAGAGTGGGACGAAAAAAAAAGAAGAAAAACAAAAGACGAAAATGGAAACGAGGGGTAGCAAATCAAACTACAACTTAGCAGATTTGATGGCAGCAATACAAGAACAGCAAAAGAAACAAGAAGAACGAGAAAAGAAACAAGAAGAGAGATTACAACAGTGGCAAGAAAACCTGCAACAGTAGCAGCTCGAACAGCAAAATAAACAAGAGAGATTACAGCAGTTGTTGGAGGAGAAAGAAAATGAACAAGAAGAGAGACTACAGCAGTGGCAACTGAAACAAGAAAAGAAACAAGAAGTACAAATGGAAAAGCTTAGTAAATTTCAAAGTGAATTAAATACATTAAAGGGTGATTTACTGTCTGTTACACAAGGAGGATATATTAGCCATCGACCTAATCAGCCTCAGAGAACGGGAAGCTCCTTCCAGACCCTGCAGCTAAACCATAATCCAGACATCTTCAGTCCTGCTAGAAGTCACATTCCAGACATAAGTGTCAGCAATAGGGGTGATCTAGTATGAAGGAAGCCACAGGGATTCGATGGGAAGGCACTGTGGGAAGCATATAGAGCACAATTTGAGCTCCTGGCAGAAATGAATGGATGGACAGAAGAGCAGAAAGCTGTATATCTGGCAACGAGCCTGAAGGGACAACCACTGGAAATACTTAGACAGTTGTTAGCAGACGACAGGCACAACTATAGAGCACTGGTAGCTGCTCTAGAGCTCAGGTATGGAACTCAAAATCAGTCCGAAGTCTACAGGGCTAGGTTTAGGACCAGAGTCTGTGCTAAAGGGGAGAGCCTGCAAGAGCTGGCACAAGACTTGGAAAACATGGCACACAAGGCCTACCCAACTGCACCACCCAATGTCCTCAAGCTGTTGCTGAGGGATGAGTTCGTAGATGCCTTGGACAGTCCACAACGGAACATATAAGTGAAGCAAGCACACCCCACTACTATGCAGGATGCAATGGCTAGAGCTTTTGAATTCGAATCC